TTCCTTCCTTCCTTCCTTCCTTCCTTCCTTCCTTCCTTCCTTCCTTCCTTCCGTTTTTTTGAGACAGGGCCTCTTTTTGAACTCAGAGTCCACCATTTGGGTTAAGCTGCTAAACTGGCTGGCCAGAGAGCCTCTGGGATCCACCCCGCCAGCCCAGGGTTTATAAATTCATGTGACCATGACCAGCTTTTGACATAGGTGCTGGGGACCCAAACGCAGGCCCCACAGTTGTACAGCAATCACCTTCCCCTAAGCAGTCTCTCCAGGTCCGGATCCTTGAGGCCCAGGTGCTGGCCTTGATTCTCAGCCCTGCCTGTGCCACACAGAATACTGGAAACACCGCCATGTAAAGGCGTGTCCTGTCAACTGCTGGGCTGTTGTCCCTTCTCTGTGTCTTCCTGTGACTACTGATTTTAAACATGAAAAGCTTTTCTATTATAATTGTTATGTTTTCTGTGTATGAGTGTTTTGACCGAACATACGTCTGGGTACCATATTCCTGGTGCCCAAGGAGGCCAGAAGAGGACCTCCTGAAACTGGAGTTATTGATGGTTGTGAACTGCTATGTTAGTGCCAGGAATTGAATCCGGTCCTCTGCAAGAGCAGTCAGTGCTCTTCACTGATGAGCTGTCTCTCCAGCCCCTAAAAGTTGTGGGGTTTTTTTTTTTGTTGTTGTTTTGTTTTGTTTTTTAACTCAGTTTTCTGCCACCAGACTTAAGAGCTTTTCACACTAGCCGAAGCCATTTGACTGAGTGCAGGTATTGCTCCTAGTGGCCGGGAAAGGGCATTATTTAAACTGCAGGAATTTAGGTGCCACAGGGAGAATTAGCAAATGTTTCAGTGCAGAGATGGAAGACAATGGATGCTCACTGAAGACCAGCCTCCTCCTACTCACACCAGGGATGACTTGCAGGAGGGAGGGTTTCAGCCTCTGAGATGGCAAGCTGCACTGCTGTGGAGCTGGAACACACACACACACACACACACACACACACACTACCACTGTATAGCCCAGGCTAACCTTAAACTCATTGTCCTCTTGTCTTAGCGTCTTGAAGACTGAGATCACAGTGATTTGCCACTACACCCAGTCGTGAGTGTGTGTGTGTGTGTGTGTGTGTGTGTGTGTGTGTGTGTCTGTGTGTCTGTGTGTGTGTGTGTTGTTCCTCAGGCACTGTCCATCTTTCTGAGGCGGTATATCTCCCTGTCTTGGAGCTCTGAGCCAGTAGATTAGGCAGACTGGCCAATAAGCTCCACAAGCCCACCTGTCTGCTTCCTCAGCACTGGGAGAGCAAGTGCGTGCTAGTATTCCTGGCTTTTTTAAGGTGTGTTCTAAGGACTGACCTCAGGTCCACACACTTGAAGGCAAGCGCTTACCAACTGAGCAATCTCCCTAGCCCTGCAACTTACTTTGTTTTTTTTTTCAAGATGCGGTTCTCCCAGTGTTGCCCATGATGTGCTCATGTGACCCTCCTGCCTCTACCTCCTGAGTGCTGAGATCACAGACATGCACCGCTTTGCTCAACTGGGATTACATTTTAATTTTATCCATTTGCGAAAACACATGTGTGTCAGCTGGTTTGGATGAGTCCTTGACTCCCAATGCGATTGGTTTCCGGCCGTTTTCACAGAGGGAGGCTGTCAAGACCTTCCCTTGGAGAGGGGGCACAGCAGCTGCAGAACTCCCCTTGACAAGTCAATCTGGAATGGCTACACGTGCCCCTTGTCTTCTTAGGCTTCCTCTTTCCTTTGGAATCATCTCCAGCCGCATTACGTCATCACTGTGAGAGAGACCAAGGGCAGCCACTGTTACAGCGTGCCTCTGCTTCTCTGGCCGTGGTTCAGAGTTGGCACTGATCCAACCTGGGCCACTTAGGGCCCTTTCTGAGCCCCTTTGATACCAAAAGCCCAGGGCCTGAGGACAGTCAACCTCCAGCCTGTCATAAGTAATAAATCTACCAGATGGAGAACCTGAAGTTAGAGGTAGCCATGTTGTTAGCCTGGTTGAGTAGAATGAGTGACAACAATCTTCAGAGGCAGCAAACACAGGAGAAAGTTCTATGACATTCCTCTGTCTGGTTCAGTTTTTTCCTAGGGACCAGCTACCCAGCCATAGCCTGGCTGTTCTGTCTTTCTTTGGTAACCAGAGTAACACACCTCCACTTTGTTTGACATCTACAACCCAAAGAGCTCAGATGAATAAGTAGACCAACCTTCACTCTGCAGGTGAGGCAGCAGATGATGAGGAAGCCCTGGCCTCCCTAGGGCAGAACTCAGTGACCGAAGGCTAGACTCAAGTCACGGATTTCCCAGGGGTGCCTCCCACTTGTTTCTGCACAGCTGCTTCTCTCCTGAGGCTTCATGGCATTTTTTTTTCAAGACATGGTTTCTCTGTGTAGTCCTGACTGACCTGGAACCTGCTCTGTAGACCAGGCTGTCCCCAAACTCAGAGATCCGCCTGCCTCTGCCTCCAGTGCCAGTGCTGGGATCAGAGCATGCACCACCATGGCCCAACCTTGCTTCATGGCATTAAAAAAATTATATTAATTTTTATGTGGCATTTTACCTGCATGTATGTCTGTGTGAGGGTGCCAGATCCCCTGGAATCAGAGTTACAGACAGCTGTGGGGGCTGAGAAGTGAACCCAGGTCCTCTGGAAGAGCAGCCAATGCTTCTTAAACATCTCTCCAGCCATTTCTCTCGCCATCTCTCTAGCCTCACTTCAGGGCATTTTAAATCCAAGGGAGATCTCCAAAATCCTCAGTTAGAGGGAAATGGCACCGTACTGCCTCCTGGCAACAAAACAACAACAAAAAACGTAACCAGGGAAACGTAACCGGAGACCCAGGACCTGAGGGTCGGCATAGGAAAGTGAGATAGAAGAATAATGTCCACCTCGTGAGAGGCGGAAGGAAGCGGCCTCCGCGGAGGCCCTTCCCTCACACAAAGACCACAGCAGGAAAAGTGGGTCTTTACCTCTTTTGCAAAACCTTCATGCAGGATCCACATGAAACGGAGCCATAAATGTCTTCCAAAGCACAGCTAAAAAGAGATCAAAGAGCCATGCAGGTGCTGGCTGCCTGTGGATTCCCAGGCCTGGCTGACCACAGAGTTCACCATTCCTTTTAACAGGAATCAGAAGGCTTATGAAAGAGACCAGGCACCCGCGCAGTTCCCCGCTGACACCCTTGGCTCCCGCAGCTGACACCTCCCGACCCCTGGGCACCCAACTCCTTCACTTCCCAGACCCAGCCCTCCTTCTATGCCCTCGCAGTGCCCCAGCATGCCAACAGGGCCACCGAGTGCCTCTCAGTCATCCTGAAAATCCAGGGCAACAGAGAGGTCTAATAGGTCCTTCAGGCATGGGCTAGATGTCATAGCTCCTTTCCCTGTTATGATAAAATATCCTCACAAAAGCCACTCGAAGAAAGATGGGTTTCTTTTGCTTCGCAGTCTGAGGAATAGTCCGTCATGGTGGGAGTTAAGGTAACAGGGGCTTGAAACTGCTGGCCACACTGGACCTGGGGAGGAACGGAGAGCGCCGAAGGCCTGCCACAGCAGCGGCCTCTCTCTTCATCTACGGTCCAGGATCCCAGCCAGGGAACGGCCCCACCCACCAGGGGCAGGTCTCCCCTCCTCCTCCGCAGCCACGGAGTGGTGGTCCCCAAGACCTGACTTGCCAAAGGCAGCTTCTGAAAATCCCTGAGGGGATTGCATCCTCGCAGGAGACTGTGGCTGATGGACACACAATTAGGTGAGCCTTCTCCCGGCTACCAAATGCTGACTAGGTGTTCACCCAAGCCAGGCGGACTCTCAGGGCCCCCACCCAGGAATGCATGGGAACCAGAGGCTCTAGCCTGACATTGCCTAGCCACCCATCAGTGGTGCTGATGCAGGGAACCTGGGGAGGAAAGCTAAAGCCACGCCCTGAGGCGTGTTCGGAGCCATACCTCAGAACAAGGCATGAGGTGCCATCACCATCCCAAGATGTTGCACTTTGCCCATTTGGAGGGGCCCTGGGACCCATCTGCATTTGGGCTTCCCCTCCTGTGGCTCCCAGGGGATCCTGTTGCCTAGCCTGTTGCCCACTCTGAAGAGCCCCTTAACTCCAGATTTTGATTCTGATTCAACAAAAGCAAGCCTCAACCTAGTCCTAGATTTTTTTCTTTTTCTTTCTTTCACTTTTAAGCAGGGTCTCACTATGTAGCCACAGACTCAGATCCGCCTGCCTCTGTCTCTCTAGTGGTGGAGTTAAAGGCATATGCCACCATGCCTGACCAACCTTTTCTTTAAAAAAAAAAAAAAAAAACAAAAACAAAAACAAAACAAAAAAAAAACAGGATCTATCTAGCTCAGCTAGTCTACAACTCTGGAGGCCCCCAAATGGTGGGTTTATAGGCCTGTGCCACCACACCTGGTTCATTCGGCTCCAAGGAATAAAAGGCAGGGCTTTGTGTGCACTAGGCAAGCATTCTATAAGTATATCTCCAACCTGACTACTAAATAATCTTTTTTTTTTTTAATTTGTTTTTGAGACAGGGTTTCTCTGTATAGCCCTGGCTGCCCTGGAACTCACTCTGTAGACCAGGCTGGCCTCTGCCTCCCGAATACTGGAACTAAAGGCATGCACTACCACTGCCCAAATCATTTTTTTTTCCAGTTTTTGCTTCTTAAGGATATTTAATATAGTGGGTTGGTGGTGGCACACCCCTTTAGTCCCAGCACTCAGGAGGCAGAGGCAAGTGGATCTCTGTGAGTTTGAGGCCAGCCTGGTCTACAGAGTGAGTCCCAGGAGAGCCAGAGCTACCCAGAGGACTCCTCTCTTGAAAAAATAAATAAAATTAAAGTTAAACATGCCCACAGACTAACAAAAAAACAAACAAACAACATGTCAAAGTTTGCAAGATAGCTGGGATGTAATTCAGGGGTGGGGTGTTTACCCAGCCTGAAGGAAACCTTGAGTTCCATCCCCAGCCCTGCAGAAATGAAAAATACATGCATTGAGGCAGGGGTAGTTTATTGTTACCCAGGCTCTTATTCATGGACCAATAGACATTGCAAGAGAAGGAAAATCTCAAATAGGCAGCTTGACATTTCACCTCCAGGAACCGAACAGGAGCAGGCTGACAGTCTCAGTGTGGTGGAGGCTGAGAGAAAAGGATCCCTTGAGCCTGGGATTTGAAGAGGAAAAAAAAAAATCCAAAGTTAGCAGTGTAGCGGGGACCCCAAAACAGCTTGACCACACATCTGCCATGACAGGCTTAGAGGCCCAGACACAGCTTCTGTGACAGGCTCACTGGCAGGCAGCACCCAGACCCAGGAAAACCCGTAAACTGACCCCACCCAGGGAGGGTCTGCATCTAAGGGGAAGTATCTGACATCCCAAACTTCCAACCATTAGATAAGGTTAGATAAGGTGGCCAGGTGTCCTTGAGTCTAGCACACACCTATTTCTGTTTACAGATACCCCTAGACAAATGTCAGCCAGTTAGGGTCCTGAGCCCTGGAAATCCCCTCATCCCAACCTCTGTTATGATAAAACAAACAAACAAACAAACAAACCCTACCCCGCCTGAGCTCAGGGCTCTCTGCTCTTACCGCTGTGTTGGACAGAGAGACTAATCTCAGAGCTTGAAAATAAAGGCCCTTTGCCGTTACACGTGGGATTTGGTCTCCATGGGGACTTTTGGGGGGCCCCCAGGATCTGGACATAACAAGCAGAAGGAGGGAAATAACGATGATCAGAGCAGAAATAAATGGAACAGACTAGAAAATGAAAACAGTCAGGAGCACGCCTTTAATCCCAGGACTCGGTAGGCAGAAGCAGGCACATCTGTGTGAGTTCAAGGCTCACCTGATCTACATAGTGAGTTCCAGCACAGCTGGAGCTTCAGAGTGAGACCCTATCTCAAAAGAATAAAAATAAAATAATAAATAAATAAACATACAAACAAATTAGCAAACCTCTAGCTAGACTAACCAGGGAAAGCAAGCACTACTTGACGTGAACCTCACACAAAGATGTCTCTGCCGGGCATGGTGGCCCCATCACACCTTCAATCCCAGCACTCCAGAGGCAGAGGGATCTCTGTGAGCTACAGCCAGCCTGGTCTACATGGAGAGTTCCAGGCCAATCAGAATTATATCATGAGACTGTGTCTCAAAAAATAAATAGCCTGTCATGGTTGCTCACATGTCTCCACATGTCAGGGTATGAATTTCACCTGCCCATAGGACAATATTTCTCTTGTAGGTCCAGTTCATGTGTGACTTGTAACAATGAAGGCAGCTCATGTGTTTGCCCATGCTTTTATTTATTCAATCATTCATCCATTTATTATTATTGAGTACTTTTTTTTTTTTAGTTTTTCAAGACAGGGTTTCTCTATGTAGCTTTGGCTGTCCTGGAACTCACTCTGTAAAAGGCTGGCCTCAAACTCAGAGATCCGCCTGCCTCTGCCTTCCCAGTGTTGGGATTAAAGGTGTGCGCCACCACCACCCAGTATTGAGTTTCTGTTGTGATAGTCATTCTTTTAGGCTCTGTGGATACAGCAATAAAGAATCAGGAAAAAAGGAGAGTTTTCACAGAGCTCATGCTCAAGATAAGAAATATAATCATAGCCACATAGAACTCACTGTTAGAATTCCTAGCCACTCCCCCAGCTACATGACCGCAAATGCCCTGCCTAGTAGCCAAGCAAGATGCTTAGTCATCCCAGGGCCTTACCTCTTACGTAATCTGTGTGCTGCATGATCACATAATCTCCGTGCAGCGTGATCATGCAATCTATGTGCATGTGTGGTGTAGCTACATAAGCCCATATGCGCATGTGCGGGCAGAACCAATAAAAGCAGATCCTACGTATCCCTCCCCCTTTTCCCTGGACGATCATTCCATAGACCTATTCACATCCCTTCTGTTCCCTTCCCTTAATAAACTCTTACAGTGGGTTTTGTTGTGCCTTGTGGCTTTTCTCACATGGTAAATAGTGCCACTTAATGAATAACACTCACAGAAATAAGCCAAGTGTAATGAACATATATGTTATACAGTGTGTTAGCACATGATGAATGCCATGAAAAGCCTGGTGGCGTGAGGAAGTCCACACTCAGCCTAACAGGGAGGTACGAGGTGGCCTGGGCAGTCTCCTGAGCAGAGGTCTGAGGCCACCTCAGAGATGAGAAAGCGTGTTATAAACAGAGGGCATCAGGAGCAGACCTGCAGGAGTGGAAACAAAGCCTCCCAGCAGTTTCTCTCGATCATCAATCGCTGTTTATTAATTTCCTGTTTGGGGCTGGGTTGCTCAGTGGCAGAGCACTTACCTAGCAAGGACAGGCTCTGGCTCTACCCCCAACTCTAAAAAACCCCAAAGTTTTCTGTTTTCTTCTGTTGGCTCTCACCAAGCCAGCGGGCTGTCTGGGTAGCCGTCCTAGAGTCCACTGACCATGGTGGAGCCAGGTAACCTTAATAAGAACACTGAGGAGTTAGTTCCAGGAAAAAGAAAAACAAGGGAGCAAGCCAACACGGCCCCTAATGGGGATATGTCTGCAGCCTAAAAATAAACCCGGGATCACTCAAGGGGGGGTCAGAGGGGTGCAGAGTTAACTCCCGCAGTCCCAGCTCTGCTGATTCACAAGATGAGGACCACGCCATGGAGCCGGCCTCAATGGATCTCCACATGTTTAAAATAGTTCTTTGTTTTGTTTTGTTTTTCGAGACAGGGTTTCTCTGTGTAGCCCATGGTGTCCTGGAACTCGCTCTGAAGACCAGGCTGGACTCAAACTCAGAGATCTGCCTGTCTCTGCCTCCTGAGTGCTGGGATTAAAGGTATGTTACCTGCAACGTGTGTAAAACAGGACTCTGCTCCCTCAGATTGTAACAATGGATGTGAAAGAAAGAGGTGGGCCCAATTTTAGCCTGATCCAAAGGCTGGCTGCCTCCTCCCTCTTGGCTCTGGATGCCCAGTATGCTTCACCCTTGACCCTCAGAAAGACTGGAACTCTAAAGTTAGTGTCTGAGGGTGAGCTAGGTGCCAGGTAAGGCCTTTGTAGGGTTTCTGACTTTTTATTTTATTTATTTATTCACTGTCCATTTGCTTTTGAGACAGAGTCTCACTATGTAGATCAGGCTGGCCTTGAACTCACAGAGATCCACCTGTGAGTGGATCTCTGCTTCCCAAGTGCTGGGATTAAAGACGTACATCACCATGCCCAGTTTATTTTACTTTTTTAGACAGGCTCTGTATGGGCCAGGTTGGCCTTAGATCTTGATCCTCCACCCTCAGCTTCCTGGATGATGGGATTGTAGTGGCTACCCCACAGAGAGCCAGTATCCCATAAATCCCCACTGTGTAAAACTTTTATGCAAAGGAATTCAAGTCTTTGCGTCTCCCCAACCAAAACCAAACAAACAATGAATTACTAAATAAAATAAAAAGCCAGAACCCTGCAAAAATCTATTTAGGAAATGTCCCTCCCCCATTCTGAGAACTTAATGAGCTTAAAGGCCTGCAGTAGTCGGCTCTTTCTGTATTTCCTTCATTTCCTTTATACCAATTCTTCTTCCCCTGTTCCTCCCTTCCCCCTCCTTCCCCTTCTTCCTCCTCCTCCTTTCTTCTTCATCTTCGTCTTCTTCCTCCTCCTTTCTTCTGATCCTGGAGCTCAGTATGTAGAGCAAACAGTCCTTGCAGTCACAGAGATCTTCCCACCTCTGCTGGGATTAAAGGCCTCCACCACCAAGCCTGGCTGCCGAGTCTATTAAAACTAGCCAACCGCAGAAGACTGTGAGGTCAGACCCAGTCAATGAGGAAAAGAAACGACTGTCACCTGCCTTGGAATAAAAGCTAAGCGAACTTCCTGCCAGTGTGCTGGCTAGCCTGCCTTCTGCCATGCAGTGCCCTTTTTACAATAACTGCCTTGCTGGGTTACTTTCACTTTGTTCACGTGTTTCTTTTTGTGATACCAAGAATATTTGCTTTCAACAGACATGTACTGGGGTGCCTCACAACGACCCATTTTCAATTCTGAGCTCCGCCGCCACTGGCATAATACTGAAATGCTGGAATCTAGATCCTAAGAAAGTGAAAGACTGTGAATTAAAATCTGTGCGGTTTGTCTTATACCTATTAAATGAGAGCTTAAAAGGTTTACAAGTAGCTAGCTGTGATTGTACATGTGTGGAACCCAGCTACCCAGGAGATGAACCAAAGTTTGAGGACAGTGTGAACTGCATAATGAAACTCTGTACCAGAATAAGTGGAAGGAAGGAAGGAAGGAAGGAAGGAAGGAAGGAAGGAAGGAAGGAAGGAAGGAAGGAAGGAAGGAAGGGAAAGAAGTTAGGCCTGTTGATACATATACCTGGAATTCCAGCTTCTAGAGAGGCTGAATAAGGAAATCACGAGTTCAAGTACTGCCAGAGCTACAGGGTAAGTTTGAGGCCAGCCTCAGCAACTTAGTGGACTCTGTCTCAAAATTAAAATATTTTTTAAGGATTGAGAATGTAGTTTAATGGTAGAGGGCTTGCCTGGCTTTGAGAGAGCCTGTTTTCTTTCTTTCTTTCTTTTTTTTTTTTTTTTTTTTTTTTTTTTTTTTTCTTTTTTTGGCTTTTCGAGACAGGGTTTTTCTGTAAGTAGTTTTGTGCCTTTCCTGGAACTCACTTTGGAGACCAGGCTGGCCTCGAACTCACAGAGATCCCTCTGCCTCTGCCTCTGCCTCCTGAGTGCTGGGATTAAAGGTGTGAGCCACCACTGCCCGGCGAGAGAGCCTCTTTTCAATCCCTGGTATACACACACACACACACCACGCACGCACGCACGCACGCACGCACGCACTTAATTTACAAATACCCACCTGTTGGATCCAACTCCATCTTCTGGCCTATGAAGGTACCACGCACACACGTGGTGCACAGACCATTCATGGAGGCAAAACGGCGCACGCCTTTAATCCCACCACTGGGGAGGCAGAGCTAGGCGGATCTCTGTGAGTTCAAGGCCAGCCTGGGCCTGCCTTGTGAGTTCCAGGAAAGGGGCAAAGCTACACAGAGAAACCCTGTCTCGAAAAACAAAACAAAACAAAACAAAGAAATAATAGCCCTAATAAATTACAAATACCGACTTGTCAAGGAATTGGTTAGAAGCCTCCCTCTGGGACGCTCCTGGTCCTCTGCTGCCACCTGCTGGTAGTAATGGGCATGGCAGAGACATAGCCAAGGAGCGCTACAAGAATTCAACAAATGATTAGGGGAGATTACTGTGAGCCTGGGTGGGGGTAGCAGGGGAATGACCTAAAAAGCCGTCTAAAGGGCCTTTTCAGTGCCTGAAGAGACTCAGGGACCACGGAGTAATTCTATTTATTTATTTGTTTGTTTGTTTATTTCATTTTTTCTTATTTTGTTTTTTTCAAGACAGAGTCTCACTACGTGGCTCTGACTGTCCTGGGACTCACTCTATAGACTAGGCTGGCCTTGAACTCACAGAGATCCATCTGTCTCTGCCTCCTGAGTGCTGAGATTAAAAGCATATGCCACCATACCAGGATTTTATTTTATTTTTAAATGTTGCTTTCCTTTTTTAAATTTGTTTTTATTTTAAAATTTTATTATATTATGTGTATGAGCATTTTGCTTGCATGTATATCTGTGCACCATGTGCAATTAAATGGCCAGAAGACGGCATTGGATCCCTTGGAACTGGAGTTAAAATCATTGTGAGCCACCAGTTGCTGGGACACCATCCTGGATCCTCTAGGAAAGCAGCTGGGGCCCTTAACTGGTGAGCCATCTCTGCAGGGGTCATTTTTAACATTCCAGCTCTGTCTCCACACTCTACAGACAGACCTTAAGGTAGATAGGTGTATTTCTCAAGGCACACTTAGGAACAAAGGCAGGATTTGCTCCCAGAACTCTGAGGTCTAAGTCCAGGGCTGATCTAATTCTAGTGAGGCCCCTGAACCAGCAGCCACCTCTGGGGCACCTGGAGACTTGGTAGAAGTTCAGGCTTTAGGGGCTGGGTAGATGGCCTATGGTAGAGTGCCTACCCAGCAGGTGCAAGGCCTTGGCTGTGGTTCCTTTGCATGTGAAAACAATAAAACAATAATGCTGCTGCTGATCAATAATAAATAAATAACAAGAAAGGCAGGGGGGTGTACAGGAGTCACTGGAAATGCACTGTGCCAGCATGTTCTGAGGCCTCAGGCAAAGAATGTAAGGGGCTCAATTTGAATACCCTGCCTCCAGCTCTCCTCGGAGGGCCTATTATCAAGGTTTTGGAGCTAGTGTGCTGGAGCAGCATTATGAAGCTTTTCTATACCCTGACTGGAAAGACATTCAGACAGTGGGTGACAATCTCAAGAGGAAGTAAGAGACATTGTGCTGTGCAAAGGCTTGCCCTACTGTTTCCTGTACACGTGTGCGTGTGTGTGTGTTTTTACAAAAATCAGATTGTAGACCCCCACGTCCCCAACCCTCTTTGTTTTGATTTTTTCTTTCTTTCAATTTTATTTTGCTTATTTCGACAGGGAGTGAAGGGTTGAGACAGGGTCTGTCTGTGAAGTCCTGGCTGCCTTGGAACTCATAAAGATCCTCCTGCCTCTGCTCCGCTATACCCAGTGGATGTAAAGTGCTTTTATGACTCTCAACCCGTGGAGGTTTGAATAGGAACGGCCCCCATAGGCCATAGATGTGAGGGTTTAGTCATTAGGTGCTACTTCACAGGGACTAGGAGGTGTGGCTTTGCTGGAGGGAGTGTGTCACTGGGGTTTCAAATGCTCAAGCCAGGCCCAGGATCTCTCTTTGCCTGCTTGTCCTCACCTCACTAGCATGTCTGTTCCTTCACTGGCATTAGAGCCTACTTCTTCAGGATTCCAGCATCTACTGAAGATCAGCAGAGACATCCAGCCTCGTGGCTGAGCAACTAACTACTGCATGCTTGAACTTCCGTCCACAGCCGGCCATGGTTGGACTGGCTGGACTGCAGCTTGTAAGTCATTCTAATCAATCCCCTTTCTCTTTGTATAGAGAGATTCGTTCTGTAAGTTCTGTTACTCTCGAGAACCCTGACTAATGCACAACATAATATAGGATAATTAGATCGATCTAGTTAATATATCGTAAGACATTTCAATAAAGATCAAAGGTTAGGGGCTGGAAATGTCATTCAGTTGCTATGGTGCTTGCCCGGTACTCAAGAACCTGTGGGTTTGATTCCCCAGTGCCACATAAACCCAGCAGAGTGGTGCATTTCTATAATCCCAGCAGTTAGGAAGTAGGTGCAGAGCCAGGCAGTGGTGGCACACGCCCTTAATCCCAGTCCTAGGGAGGCAGATCTCTATGAGTTCGAGGCTAGCCTGGTCTACAGAGAGAGTTCCAGGACAGCCAGGATTGTTACACAGAGAAACCCTGTCTCCAAAAATTAAGTAAATAAATGAAGGAAGAAAGGGAGGGAGGGAGGGAGGAAGGAAGGAAAGAAGGAAGGAAGGAAGGAAGAAGAGAATCAGTAGTTTAAGGTCACCTTTGGCTACATAGGAATTTTGAGACCAACCTGGTCTCTACATGAGATTCTGTCTAACAACAACAACAACAACAACAAAAAAAAAAACCTACTTGTGATTTCTCTTTAGTAGTAGTTTTTCAATTGTTAATTGAAGAACTTGAATTAGAAAATACTTGTGGCTATAATATCTGTTGCTGTGCTACAAATTGCTCTAAAATTTGACAGTTTAAAACAAATGCTTACCATCATGGTTCTGAAGTCAGCATCCTGGGATGGCTTAAGCTGAAGCTGATTGTGTGGCTGAGGGTCTCTTAGGATGTCATGGTCAGGCCACAGAGTAGGCTGCAGCCACCACAAGGCTGGAGGACTCATCCTAAATTCCCTTGTGGCTGCTGGCTGGAGACTGCTGTTTCTCACCACGAGTCTTTCTGGAAGCTGCCAGGGTGTCCTGATAACAGGGCTGGCTCCCCTACAGTGCATGACTCAAGAGAAGTAAAAAGGGGAGTCTTTCATGACCTAACATATTGTGATATACAATCATCCCTGCCATATTCTATTGGTATTAAAGTCTAATCCTGTGTAGGTAGGTTGGGAGTGGACTTCCCCAAGGATAAAAGCACCAGGCAGTGAGGATCGGTGGATGCCATCTTGGGGGCTCTATCAATGGGCAACTACCAGCCACTTTATTAGCACAAAAACGAGCAGGGTCTCCCACAGCCTTTTGAATAAATGGCAAGACCTTAATATAATCTACAAGGCCCAGTTCAATCTGACTCCAGCCTCAGCCCTCCACGAGCCTCCTAGCCTCAGTTCATGGCCTGCCCCTGCCTTCCTCAACTCAGCTACTTGAAGCACCAGGGCATTCTCGGAGCTTTACCAAAGTCCTCTGCCTCCTCCTTTCACACCCCACCCTCCCCTCAATGGCTCCCTTTCCCCACCAGGCTCAGTCTGAAACATCCATCCCCAGCAAAGCCCTCCCTGATTCCAACCTAGATTGGGCTCCCTTGGTATCTCTCTCCCTACAGTACCTGGGGGGTCCTCAGTTTTGGTCACATTTAGCACAGTGCATTCAGTTTCTATTTGAATAAGCATTTGTTCGTGTTCTTCTCATCCATCAAACTCAGCAGTCCATGAAAGTAGGACACGTGCATCCCTTGGGTTGAGAACTCATTGGAGAGTAGCACTGAGGGCAGGACCCAGCATGTAGTAGCTGTTCCATCAATGCTTGCTGACAGAATGAAAGGAATGGGGGAATGTTGGGGGTCCTCCAGTGCACATTTGGCAAGGGGTTCTCCTCTGTTGTACGGGTCAGGCTCTAATTCACAGCTGCTGAGGAGCTGCAGATCTCTCTGGGGTGTTTGCCACACGGCTCGGCAGGAAGCTTTTCTAGCAAGGGTGCCGGGGAGAGTTTATTCCAAGTGCTGGTACCCAGTGAGCACTCAGCCTTGTGGGTGGCGTGGCTGGTGCAGACGACTCTCCTTCCCACTCATGCTTTTAATGCCCCCAGTTTTCCTGTGTCTTTACTTCTCTCTAGAGAGGTTACAGGGAACGAAATTTACCCAGAAATTTATCGGGAGATGATGTCATAGGGTGACGGGGTCATTTCCTAAATGTAGACTGGAGCTAGGTATGGTGGCAGTGCACACCTGTAACCTCAGCACTTGAGAGGCTGAGGTAGGAGGAGTCACAAGTTTAAGGCCTGCCTGGGCTACCTAGTGAGTTCCCGGCCAACCTGGAAGTCCTGTCTGAAAACCAATGAACCAGGTAACTAATAAATTGAATGAACAAACTAATTAAACATAGAAACAGGAATTACCAGTGTGCCAGGCATGGTGCTGACGGCGGGTCCTCTGAAAATAGTGAGGACGGAATGTCTGCCATAGATAGCCCCCAGCCTGGAAGAAAGGAGATGGACCATTTCAGTCTAGAAGTAAGCTTGGTACCAAGAGCTGGGAGCCTCCGAGGCAGCACAGAGGGACCACAGAGGCAGTGAGGAAGGACCTAATTGTCCCCAAATTAGGAAATTCTAAAATGCAAAATAACTACATGATCAAGTAATTCCATGCCTAGGTTTATACCAAAAAGAATTGAAAACAAATTTTGACCCTAAGTGTTCACAGCTGTGCTGTTCAGAACAGCTAAAAGTGTAGGGGAAAGAGACACCCCTGTTCCATCAACCACTGAGAAAAGTAAAACAGTGTGGGTCGCTGTACATTGGAATGCCATTTCATCCAGAGCAGTGACCCTGCTCTGGTGCTGGTGCACCTCAGGACACTATGCTAGCCGAAAGGAGGTCACCCATTGCCTGGCTCCATTTATACAAAAATGTCCAGAAGAGGGGAATCTGTGAGGAGAGAGGGTATGGATCTATACCCTCTCTATACCCTATATGGCCGGGCTGGAGGAGCCTGTGGCATTGGGTTTCATTTCTGGTGACAAACAGGTTCTGGGGAGATGGTGTCAATAGCCACGACACTGAGTGTTTTTAGTGCCGTTGACTCCTATGTGTTCAAGCGATTAAACTGGGGAGGGAGGGAGAGAGACAGAGAGACAGAGAGAGAAAGAGTGTTTGTGTGTGTGTGTGTGTGGTGCTGGGGATCAAATCAGGGTCTTCACATGCTTGGCAAATGTTCTATGTCTCACATATAAAATGTATGATTCTATGTGTTCTTATCATATCTTTTAAAAATGAGGAAAACAGAGAACAAAGGTGGTAGCAATATTTAAAGTGCCCACTTGGGGCTGGGGTGTATAACTCAGTTAGTGGAGCACTTGCCTAGCACTCATGAGAGCCTGGGTTCCATCCCCAGAATGGCATAAACCAGGTATGGTGGCACATGTCTGTAATCCTAGCATTCGGGAGCTGGAGGCAGGAAGATCAGAAACTCAGGGTCATCCTCTACTGTATGGGAGGTTAAAAACTAGCTAGGTTACATAAGGCCTTTTATTTAAAAAACAAAAAGCCTTCTAAAAGTACTGCTAATGCAATGAATATAGGACAAAAAGAAAATGTGCTACTCAAAGAAATACATATTGGGATCTTTTTAAAGGAGTATTTCCCCCTTCTTGTCTCCAAACAAGACGTAAAAAGGGGCTTGTGATGGTTAATTTATCAATTTGATAAGATTTAGAAACACATTTCTGGACACGACTGTGAGTTTTGTACACTGAGTTAATTGGGATGGGAAGGTTCACCCTAAATTTGGATCTCTCCATCCCATAGGCAAGGGTCCAGAGCTGAAGAAGAAGACGACAGAAAGCTGAGCACCAGCATGCATGCCTCTCTACTCCCTGACTGCAGATGCCCCATGGCCGGCTGCCTCAAGCTCCCGTCATGCCTTCCCCACCATGATGGGCTGCACCCTCGAACTATGAACCTAATGAACCTTTGCTTCCTAAGATGCTTTCCTCAGATACTTTGTCACACAAGACAACTAATTCAGCTGTGGACGCAGTTCAGGGGTCGAGTGTTTACCCTGACTGCAACAGTCCAGGTGTGAGCATCAGTCTCCTGGGGTACAGGGTGCATAGATGAGTGAAGGATCAGCTCAGGCCTCCCTGTTCCCTGGTCCAGCCAGGCACCCTGTGGCTCCTGTTAGCTCCTGAGAACCAATAAAAATGTACTGACAATACCAATTACCAACAGTTGGCACTGAAACCAGTGTTAGAATTCCTGGCCACTCTCCCAGCTACTCAACCGAACATCCGCTGTCCAGTAGCCAGGCAAATGCTTAGTCATCCTAGGGCCTTACGTTCTACATAATCTGTGTGCTGCGTGATTACATAATCTGCACACAGCATGGTCATGCAATCCATGCACATGCATCACGTAGCTATGTAAGCCCATATGCGCATGTGCAGAGGAACCTATAAAAGCGGGTTCCACCTATTCCTCCCCACTTCCTGCATGATCTTTCCATAGGCCTATGCCCACCCCTTCTGTTCCCTTCCCTTAATAAACTCTGCTGGCCTCAAACTCACAGATATCCGCCTGGCTCTGCCTCCCAAGTGCTGGGATTAAAAGCGTGTGCCACCACCCAACAATAAACTCTTATAGTGTTTTTTTTTTTTTTATTGTGTATACAATGTTCTGCCTGCATGTGTCCCTGCACAACAGAAGAGGGCACCAGATCTCATTACAGATGGTTGTGAGCCACCATGTAGTTGCTGGGAACTGAACTCAGGATCTCTGGAAGAGCAGTCAGTGCTCTTAACCTCTGAGCCATCTCGCCAGCCCATAGTGGGTTTTGTTGTACCTTGTGGCTTTTCTCACATGGTAAACAGCACTGCTTAATAAATAACATCCGGGGCTATGCCTTGTGCTGAGCAAGCGGTTCCTTGTGTACGACCTGCAGTGACAGGTGCCCCTCGTGACCGCTTTGCAGATGAGAGCTGGAGGTGCAGAGCTACGACCCCAGGTCGGTCATAGCCATAGCTGCAACTTTGACGATTCAGGATTTGAAGAGCCAGGAGGCCTGCTTCCAGAACTCAGAGGGGGGTGGGGTGCCTGGTGGTCTCCCAGGCTGTGGGGGATGGAGGGTAAGTGCCCTTGAGTCTGCAAGTGAGGACGTGTGGGGAAGGTCAGACCTCCACGCCTGGCACCTCTGGGAAGGAACATGGTGTCTGGGCCTCCGTTTCCAAACTGGAAGTGACTCGGTGGAATTCAGGATGGGATGGGACTGTGGGATGGGTCTCAACTGCTCTGGCCATTCATGTAGCTCTTCTGCCCACTGCGTTTCTGGAAGAGGATTGTTGAGTAGCAGTGTAACTGTGGCAGGGATGAAGAGCAGGGTTAACTGCTGTGGGCAGAGCAGAAGAACAGCTCCGTGGCTGCTAAAAACAAAAGGTTATGGGCTGAAAAGATGGCTCAGCTGTTAAGAGTGGTTACTGGTCTTCAAGAGGACGCGAGCTCAGGTCCTAGCACCGATCCATGTTCAGTAACTCATGATGCCTATATAACCTCAGCTCTCCGGTATTCAACTCCCTCTTCTGGCCTCCTTGAACACTGAATGCCCATGAAGTGCATATGCATCAATAAATTTAAAAATCAAAAACAAATCTTAAAATACCCCCCCAGACCAAACAAACAAACAAACTTCTTGCATGGGAGAGAGGCTGATGGGCATTGGGCCCGTGTGGCAGCCTGCAGCAGAAAGCTGCGCTACGTGGGACAAAGTGCCAGGCCAGGCTGCAAAAGGCACGTCCATCCATCTTGGCAAAGCTGCAAGAGGGGCTACCTCTCCTTGTCTCAAGCCCCCTGCTGTCAGCTGGAGGAGAGGCCCTGGACTGTGGCCTGGAGACTCCGAAGAAAGAGGGCTAGAGAATGAATTCAAGCCGAGATCTCAGGACAGTGGGAGTCCAGGAAACACTCATACGTCTGAGTGTTTATAAATGGTCTCCCTTCCAAGTTGAATCAAGACTTATTTGGCAAAGAATGTCATCCTCCCCAGGGAAGGAGGCAACCCAGCGATGGGAACACGTAAGGGAAGCCGCTTCTCCATATGGCTCTGGCATTTTCCTAAAATAAACAATTGGATTGTTGGAGCCGTGAAAACGAGAGCAGGCCCAAACTCTGGGATTCTTAGTGTGTGGGATCAGGGGCGTGGGCCAGTCAAAGCTCGTGTATATACGACCGATTTCAACAGGGACAGAAGTGTGACTTACATCATTGGTGCTGAATGGGCCAAGGCTTTCTTTGTAGGAAATGTACTTGTAGGGCTGGAGAATTGGCTCAGTGGGTAAAGGCGCCTGCACTCAAGCCTGGGTTCCATCCTTGGAACCCACATGTAGAGGGAGAGAGCCATTTCCTGGAAATTGAAGGAAAAGAGGTATACACGTACGTGCCATGGCATGTTCGTTTGTGAATACACAAAATACTAAATGTAAAAAAATAAATTGGAGACTAGGAAGACACCCTTATAGGAATAGATTTGAGGTTTTGTTTGTTTGTTTGTTTGCTTGCTTGTTTGTTTGTTTTGAAACAGGGTTCCTCTGTGTAGCCCTGACCATCTTGGAACTTGCTCTGTAGACCAGGCTGGCCTTGAACTCAGAGTTCAGCTTGCCTCTCTCTCTCTGCCACCTAAGTGCTGGGATTAAAGGCATGCACCACCACCATCTAGATGAATAGATTTGTTTCAAAACACTAAACTGACTGTATTTAGAATCATGTTTAAATCACTAAACAGACTATTTTTATAGTACGGTTTAGGTCCACAGAAATATTTAGTTAATCCCAGCACTCGGGAGGCAGAGGCAGGCAGATCTCTGTGAGTTCGAGGCCAGCCTGGTCTACAAATAGAGTTCCAGGAAAGGCACAAAAGCTACACAGAGAAACCCTGTCTGGAGAAAAAAAAAAAAAAAAAAAAGATAATTCCTCCTCTAAGTCTTTACCTTCACACGTTCCTCTTTCATTAATATTTTACCTTTGTGATATATATGTATAGATAGATAGATAGATAGAAAGATAGATAGATAGATAGATAGATAGATAGATAGATAGATAGATAGATAGATAGATAGATAGACAGATAGGTACTGAAATGCTGGAGATTGGGCCCAGGGCCTCACATATCCTAGGCAAGGCTCTTCCCAATTGTGCGAGGTGTGGTGCCTTTCTTACAGTTGAGTCTATTTTGATACATTGGCATTGCCTAAGGTCAATAGTTTACGCAAAATTCATTCTTCTCACTGTATAGTCTACTGATTTTGACAATAGACAGATGTGTGCCATTATAGTATCAGAATAGTTCACTACCCTAAAAGTCCTCTGTACTCCATCTACTACTATTAATACACATTTAAAAAGAAGATTTTAGACTTAAGAGATTTGTCTTAGAATGTCAATGTTATCATGTGTCCCTCTTGAGGACAGGGACAGCTTCACCACCATGTCCAAAGTTTAGGAAACCATCAAAATGATCCCAAACTAACAACCTCAAGAGAGAAGATCAAGGCATGCACAGTAGCTAATGCCTGTAATCTTAGCACTCAGGAGGTAGAGGTAACAGGATGGACATGATTCCAAGGCTAGACTGATCTACCTTACAAGTTCTGGACCAGCCAAGGGCTACACAGAAAGACCGTATCTTACAGAGAGAATGGGCTGGAGAGATGGCGAAGAGCACTTACTTTTCCAGAGGACCTGGGTTCTAACCCTGGCACCCACACGGCAACTCACAATTGTTCTTAACTAGGTCTAGGGGATCCCACACCCTCTTCTGACCTCTGTATCAGAAGCACACATGTGGTACACAGACACACATGCAGGTGAAACACTCATACACACAAAATAAAATAAATCCATCCTAAAACACAGAGGGGGAGCTAGAGAGGGCTCCGTGGTTAAGAGCCCTCACTGTCCTTGCAGAGGGCCGGAGTTCAGTTCCCAGCACTCTGGAGTGACTCACGACCACCTGTAACTCCAGCTCCAGGGGCTCTGATACTTCAGGTCCCTGCCTGCATCTGCGCCTGCACTCATGTGCACACACATGCACATGATTTAAAATAATAAAAAATAAATCTAAAAAAACACAGGGTGCCCTGGGGGGACAGCTGAGTCGGTAGTGTTTGCTGTGCAGACATGAGGAACTGTGTTTGGATCCCCAGACCCCGCGGAAAAAGCCAGGTACAGCAGAATGTGCTCAGAATACTAGCACTAGAGAGTCAGGGAGAGGATCCTGAGGCTCACTGGCCAACCTGTCTAGCCAAACTGGTGAGCTCCAGGTTCAGTGAGAGATCTTGGCTCAAAAAAAAAAAAAAAAATAAGGTGGAGAAAAACATGGATAGTCAACCTCTGACCTCTACATGTTCTGGAGTATACATGTACATGCACATACATGAATGCAGGAGCACTCATGCGTGCATGCGTTTGCATGCACGCACACACACGCGCGCGCGCACACACACACACACACACACACACACACACAAGAGGGGCATCAAGCTTGCAAATGTGCAAATGTGCAGCACCAATGTATGATGTGCTACCGACCCTGTAACGAGTCTTTTTCTGTCCCACCAGCTCCCAAATAATGACATGGAGACTTCTTACTGATTATGAAAGCTTGACCTATGGTTAGGCTTGTTTCTAACCAGTTTGTATAACCTAAATCAACCCATATTAATTATATGATTATATTCATCTACTCTCTGCCATGTGGCTCTGAGCTGTTACCTTCCTCCTGCACATCCTGCTTGCTCTGTGTCTCCACCTCTCTTCTTCCCAGAGTCCTCTCTGTTCCCAGAAGTCCTGCCTATATCTCCTGCCTAGCTATTGGCCATTTGGCTTTTTTTTTCTGCCCCCGAGACAGGGTTTCTCTATATAATCTTTTGTGCCTGTCCTGGAGCTCACTCTGTAGACCAGGCTGGCCTCGAACTCACAAAGATCCACCTGCCTCTGCCTCCCGAGTGCTGGGATTAAAGGTGTGCGACACCACCGCCCGGCCATTTTGCTCTTTATTACACCAATCACAGTCATACATCTTCACACAGTGTACAAATATTCCTCAACACTACCCCTCTGGGGTCTGAGGAGACTTTGGATGAGTACTCCAACAGGAAGTGGTTTCTCCAGCCTAGCTCAGGGCATCTTGGGTAGATTCCATCTGGCTGATTTATATACAGGTGTTGATCTTGATATGCCTCAACAAAATCCTAAATCATATTTACTTAAGCAACAGAAGATATCTAAACACCCTAAGGAGAGGGTCTGTCCCTACGAGAACTATCCCAATGGGTGACCTCTATGTGGCTGGCAGGGTGGTTTAACCTTAATCTCCAAAGGGCCCGTGATCCTGAGGTGATTCAGGGCCTTCTCCTGCACCGTTGGGGTTTTTGCACTGGTGTCTTCCACCCTCCATTGTGTGTGGGTTTTGCCTTCATCTCCGAATAGCTGTGTTTATCTCCAGGTACACACACAGAAAAGCAGGTCCCACCTTCCTCTTGTACCTTTTCCTTTTTTTTTTTTTTTTTTGGTTTTTCGAGAAAGGGTTTCTCTGTGTAGCTTTTGCGCCTTCCCAAGAACTCGCTTTGGAGACCAGGCTGGCCTCGAACTCACAGATATCCGCCTGCCTCTGCCTCCCGAGTGCTGGGATTAAAGGTGTGCGCCACCACCGCCTGGCTCACCTTTTCCTATTAAAGGTGGAGTTCTTTTATCAAACCTCTGCTGAGGTGCCCGGTAGGTCAGTTGATCTGTCTCATGTGGAGGGTCTGTTCTGCTTTCTTATCACGAAGGGCCAGGTAGTGTTTGACTCAATGGCATCACGGATGCTATGAATACATAGTTAACTGCCTCTCGGTCCTACCATTCCAGTTCCCCCAGATCTTGGCTGAAAACCCAGACATACACTGCTTATCTTACACTATCCCTTCAAATCACAGAATCATGCCAAGTTAGTTATGAAACAGTTAAATTCTGTAAGGGAAGAAACACCAATTCTCCATCAGGATGATGCTCAAGAAGCCTGATGCGGCCACCCATACAGTATACCTTCTCCATCACTCCCACGCCCAAGCTGAGGGCTGAACCCGGAATCTTGTGCTCGTGTTAGCACACAGTCCAGCGCTGAACTAAAGCCCTGTCCCTGGAGTATGCTCTTTGACATAGGGTTATTTTGAGCTGGAGATAAGTGAGAGGAGACAAGTGCAGACGTCCCCAGGAGGTGACGAGAGTCTAGTCCTAGTCTCCATAAAGCAGAGTCAAATGAACCACAGGAACGGTTTCCTGTTTCCTAGACAAAAAATTCCTGTTTATACCATGCTATTGTCAACTAAGTGTGAAATAGCATTTTCTCTATGGAAAAAAAATCAAAGTTCATTAAAAAGATATTACAGGGGTGTTGGTATTTGTGCTGGTCAGTATTTATTATGTTGTCACAAACTAGAGTCACCTGGGAAGAGGGAACTTCAACTGTGGAGTTTCTTCTATCCATTGGCCTGGGGGCATGTCTATGGGACCTGTTCGCGATTGTTAATCGATGTAACAACCCCTGAGCAGGCCATCCTGGGTTATATAAGAAAGCAAGGCAGTAGTCAGCCTTCCTGACAGAAGCGTTCTGCTTCCATTCCTGCCTCCAGCTCCCTGCTTTGAGCCCTGCCCTGGTTTCCTAAACAATGAACTATTACCTGGAAGTGTAACAGGAAATCCTTCCCTTCCCAAGTTGGTTTTGGTCAGTCTTTTATCATAGGAACCAAAAAGCAAGAAAGAAAGTATACAGGCCTATAACCCCAGTACTCTGGAAGCTGAGGCAGGAGGATCAAGAGTTTGAGGCCAGCCTTGACTACATAGTGATTCTGTCTCAAAAAAAAAAAAAAAAAAAAAAAAAAAACCACCACCAACAAAATATTTTGAGTAGGATCTGTGCACATACCTGTAATCCTAGAGCTTGGGAGAGTGAGTCGGGAGGATTCCAGGTTTGAGACCAGCCTATGTTACATAGGAAGCCCCTGTCTCAGAGATTTTTTAAATTAGATTAATGTTGCTTGAGCATAATCCCAAAATGCTGAGGTGTGGTATGGCCACAGCATCCCGTGCTCTCAGCTGGAACTTCCTGAGAGCCTGCCGGAGCTTCCCCTTTGGCTTCCTGTCTTGTCTTGCACAGTTAGGTTTGAAGACAGTGTCTTCGCTTCAAGCTCACAAGGCAGCGTTTTCTTCTACGGCTTCCTGACCTCTCCCAGCCTTCATGGAACTGAAAAGAGGGCTTTGATCTGGATTAGGCTTGAAAACTGAGGGAACGTTCTGGAGGGTTTAGCCTCCCACCCAGACCACTAAAGCTTCCACCCATCAGCAAGAAGCCTGCCCCACTTTCTCATCATTGCCACGTTTACTGGAGAAGCATCCTAAATTTCCTTCAAAAACTCTTCCTCTGCACCCATAACTAGATCGTTTGCATAAGAGGCCCGGCTTTCGGTCTATCTGAACTGTCAGTACGCTTTCCCCCGCTAAGCCTAATCATCCCTCGCTTTTGATTCGAAGTGACAGACGTGTGGCTTTTCCTTTCCCTTGAGCATTTGGAGGCCACCGTAGGGTTATTAATCGACCTCATTTCAACTTTGTTGTGTCTGGCGTGGGGGAGGCCTGCGGAGATGGAGAGGGAAGGGGGAGGCAGCCGGTAGGTGGAGCCGTCAGAACACACACAGCGATTATCCATTAACTCCTCTGCGTGATGTGGGCAGTCAGTAGCACCCCAAAGCAACTACAGCAGCTTCAAAGGTCGCTGATTACAGATCAGCATGACCAGTGTAGCAATAATGGAAAACTCTGGAACCCTGTGAGAGTCACCAAAACCTGAAGAGAGCACCCGGGGTTAGAAAGATGGCCTCAACAGACACCCATGTGGGGTGCTGTAAACCCCCTAATTTGTGGGAGAACAAAACAGCACCACAGAGTCCGAGGGGGACAACGAGATGAGAACTGTCCTCTGTGCCCCCCTCTTTACCCATGGGAAGCACATTTGTTTGTTTAGAGACAGTCTCGTTAACCTAAGCTGGTCTCACATCGCTATGAAGCCAAGGATGATCCTGGACCCCTCGCCCTCCTACCTCTACCCTGAGTGCTGGGACTACAGGCATGTGCCACCATGCCAAGTTTTGCAGTGCTGAGGATCAAACCCAGGGCTTTGCACATCGCTCTACCAAGCTAGGTCCATCCCTAGCCCGGGACAAACATTTATCAAAGGTGCTCCTAATTCCCGCCACCTGGAAAAACAGAAGTTAACCATCAGGGATAACTCCAGGCCCTTTCTAGCCCAGGGGACTCTATGTGGAAAGTCTTCCTAACTCTCTTCCTCTGACACCTCTTTGCCTTGCCGTGATTTTTGACCCCTTGCGACTCCTACTTTTCCTCTCTTCCACCTCTACAAATGGACGAGGCTTTGTTCAGGACGCTTGCTTCCTGGTCAACGGAGGCACCAGAGTGGGCTGTCCCCCCAACTCCTTTAAGAAGGACCTCATCCCGACTGCTGTGAGTGGTGCCGTCTCCCTGAGGGAGCCGCCTCAGCCCAGACCACCTCTCGTTTCATCTACATCCAAGGACAGACAAAAAGGGTTTTTTTGTGGGGTATTGAGGACTGGATATTCAATGTTAAAATAGCTATTTGGGGGGACAGGGCATGTAGCTGCAACACCATTGATGCCTTAGATTCCTGTGGAAGCAGACAGAAGCCCAACACAATACAAATGTGAGTTTGGTCCCTCTGAAGCCACCAACTAACTTGTAACTAAGGGATTGTTTCCCCACTTAAATCGATCAAATATATTCTCTGTCTCGTTTCTATAATTCCCTTCTAGAACCTTCCTCAGCCCACCCGCTCCAGGGAGCCGGCACACTTTCTGTCTGGTGTTGCCTGATTCATGAGCACTGAATGCACAAACTCATTGAATTTCAGATATGTCTAAGTTTACCATTTAGCAAAGTCTGCCCAGAGACATCTCCTCACCCACCCCTGCCACACTGTAGAGTCCCGCCCCCCTTTCTCCTGGTCAGGTGTTATCTCTGATAAATCACCCATGCCAAAAATCTACCCTTGCACCTGCTTGCAAAGAAGTCAACCCCAGAGATATAACCAGGCCCTTCCCCCAGCTCCACTTCTTCTCCCAGATGCTCCTGCCTAGTCAAGGGTAGAGACAGAAGAGAGAAAATATGAAGGCACGACAGTGGTGCTCCCTGTCTGTATGTCCCTGGTGACTTGGAACACGGTTGACACTTACAAACAGGAAATACTCTGTCTCGGCACCTTCCGATAAGACTAAGTTCATCGTTTTGTCTGCGGCCATCCCCGCCTGGCACAGCCTGGCAGTGTGTCAGAGAGAAAGGTCAGGTTGATAAAAGGTAGGGAGACTGGCTTTGAGCAGGCCGTGGGAGGGAGTAGAGAGAGCCGGCTTGCTTAAGGGTCCTGTCAAGATCATGATGCAACCACCAAAACTGGTACAAGAGGTCTCAGGTTCCATCCCCAGTGTGGGAGAGAGAGGAGCGAGAGAAGAGAGGAGCAGGTAGAGGAAGCGAAGGAAGGATGGTGAAGCCCTGTCCTGTAGAGCTAGGGGAGCATGCCTCAAACCTGAAAGGACCAGAACTGAGGAGAAAAAAAAAAATGAGGCTCCTTCTCTGCAGACACTGGTGGTGGCCACAAGCTCATGGCAGCACTCTTTACAAGTGTAATTCAAACAAAAGAGTCACTTAACAGGACATGCGCTGAGCACTTTTCTATTGCTATGAAGAGACACCACGACCAAGGGGACTCATAAAAGAAAGCATTCAATTGGGGGCTTGCTTGTAGTTTTAGAAAGTAAGTCCATGATCACTGTGGAGCATGCAGGCACGATGCTGGAGCAATAGCTAAGCCAGGTACATCCTGATCTGCAGGCAGCAGGCGGCAGGCAGTAGACTGGGCCTGGCATGGGCTTTTGTTGTTCATATATATATATATAAAAACATGCATTTGTGTTTTTGCCATGGGTGTCGGGGTCCCCTGAAACTGGAGTTTCAGACAGGTGTGAGCTGTCATGTGGGTGCTGGGAATGGAACTCGGGTCCTCTGGAAGAAGAGTCAGCCCTCTTAACCCCTGAGCCATCTCTCTAGCCCTGGCATGGGCTTTTGAAACCTCAAAGACAAACCCCAGCGACACACCTCTTTCGACAAGGCCACACCTCCTAATCCTTCCAAAACAGTTCCACCAGCTGGTGACCAAGCACTCAAACACATGAGCCTATGAGAGCCATTCTTATTCCAACCACCACAGTGGGGAGCGGGTAGATACTGGGAATAAAGCACACAGATAAAACAGACTAATTGCAAATCAGAGAGTGGTCTGGGCACACAGACACTCAGCTGGCTCGCCTGCATCAAGGAAATGAGGAAGGAGAGGAAGTGATGGGAGAGGAGGGAAGAAAGGCCCCCCGCCCCAGACACCTTGCTCAGGAAGTGGGGAGGATGGTGTGAGCAGTCCAGGGGTACCCAGGCTGGTCCAGGGGTGCCCAGCCCTGGAGGAAGGGAGACTCATCCCAGGGACTTCTCAAGTTGTTCCACATTTTTAGGGAAATGTAAAGCATGTCAGGAGGTGGAAAGCGGCATGCGTCATCTTTATTTTGCAAAATGAGGCGAGGATGTTGAGGCCACCAAGCTTGTCAGACAAAGCTCATGACACCTTTGATTTCAAAATGAACTCAAATCCAAAGACCCAGATCGAGCCCCGACTTTGTATCCAGCAGGGCATGAATCATCCGACAGATGGTGGGGGTGCGTTTAGAGAGGCCCAGAGGGAGCAGGAGCGGCCCCTCAGATGGCCCTGTGGCGCCGAGCTGTTCTCCACCCAGAGCAGGCTAAGCATCGGGGGACTTTGTGGGTTCTGCTCTGTCTGGCTTCAGGGAGCAGCTGTGACCTAGCAAACTCAAGTAATTGAGAGAGAGAGAGAGAGAGAGAGAGAGAGAGAGAGAGAGAGAGAGAGAGAGAGAGAGAGGAGAATCCAGATGTTAGGATCTAGCTCAGCCTGGGACTCTAAAGCAGAAGGGCGGGGCCAATGCTGACGGCGCCCCCAGGACTGTTAGGAGTGGGTGAGCTTGCTCCGAGGGGAGATGGAACTAGCTCAGGAAGCCTGCGGTTACCCCAGTCTCTGAAGTCCCTGCGGACTGGCGGTGGGATTCAGGGAAGGAAGAATTCTTTCTTACTTTACAATTATACAGACAGTGTTTGGGTATCCCACTGTCCATTGCCTTCCACGCTGCAATCTGTCACTTGAAATCGAATGCATCCTGACTGCTCTGGGAGTCAGGGTGCTGCCTTTAATTTTAATAACCACCCCATGTGCTCTCATAGGACTTTGAAGTATTTTAAAAGGTGGTGCTTTTGTTCTATTTGTTTGTGTGTGTGTTTGTTTTGGTCAAAATTCTACCACTCCATTCTAACTTACAACAAAGATGGGAAGCTAAGCTCTTGGTGACTAGTCAATATTTTCTCTTTTCCACATATGAAGCCTTAAAGAAAAAAAAAAAAAACAAGAATGGCCGGGCATGGTCGTGCACACCTTAGACCAGCAGACTAAAGCAGGAGAATCAAGAGTTGGAAGTCAGCCTGGGCTACGTGGAAAGATCCCACCTCAAATAAAATAACACTATAACAATAAAAACAAATAACATACCATAACGAACACAAAGAAGAAACTACATAATACTCCCAAATTACTTATTAGTAAGTGTGACTTGTTTAAAGAGTCATTCGTGTGTTTTCGGGTGGCAGGTAGAGTATGACAATGGGACAATAAAAATATTGGTCACCTGAGGAACTCCGCCACTCCAGGAAACACAGCCTGCTCTGGTTCCCACAGGGGGATGTCCAGTTTTATCTGATGAGCTTTCCACTGTGGTTTTATTATAGCTCCAAGCTCTCGTCTGAGCAAGCCTGTTCTGTCACGGATGGTTGAAATACTCTATGGAATGTTATACTTCACAAGAGTTAACAACAAAAAGCATTATGTCAAAACCTAAGACATAACTATAATTAAAATCACAGTGTATTTCCTGTTGGTTGCTGAAGCCCATCATGGAAGTCTTGTCTTCAATAAATACTACATTTGGAATTTTCTGTCATAGAAAATTATTTTTAAATGATAGCTTAGAAAAGAAATATGAAAAGCTCTCATGCTATACATTATTAATATGATTTATGTCATGTCCCTTGGTAGAATGTTGAAAATATGCCAATAAATTAGTTCAAGAAAAATTAAATATTAATTTAGTTGATGAAAAATTAAATATTAATGGAGTGCTCAAACACCAATTACATTGCAGTATGAGCTTGTAAATATTTTCATAAGTAATTCCTGCTCCATATTTATGTAGTAGTATAGGCCAAGAAAAGAATCATTCATTTATACAGAAATTTTTTTCACCAATAAATTTTTCCAACTGGGCAATGGTGGTGCATGCTTTAAATCCCAGCACCGGGGAAGCAGAGGCAGGTGGATCTCTGTGAGTTCGACGCCAGCCTGGTCTACAGAGTGAGTTCCAGGATAGTCAAGACTGCACACAGAAACCCTGTCTCGAAAAACAAAAC